GGTGCAAATATTGCAAAAACATTAATGACTCTATTAAAAGAATATAATTTAACAACAAAAATTATATCATTAACAACTAATAATCATACCATTATGGTTGCTTGTACCTGTTAGCTATCTAGTAAATTAGCTAATTTTAGTAATTTTTTGTTTTCATATCAGTAATGCAGAGTATATATACTAAATTTACTATACAATATAGTCTTCAAGTACATAGTGAAGTAATTGAAAAGGTTTGAATTTTTATGAAAAAAGTTAAAAGATCTAATTTATTAATAGCAAGTTGGCGCAGATTATTTGAATTAGACGGACTTCTATATTTGGGTTCAGAAATAGATACGGAAATATGTTGGAACTCAACATATTTAATGTTAATTAAATCTTTAAAAATTCGAATACAAGTAAATATACTTATTGCTCAAAATCCTGACGATTTTAATGATTTAATTTTTACAAATAATAATTGGGCTAATATATATGTAAGTGTTTAAACATTATTATAAAATTTTATTTTATATTATAATATTATAATATATTTATAATAATAATAACAATAATATAGGAATTAATTCTAATTTTGGAACCCATTTATTCAGCAACTTTGTGTCTTTCTTCTTCTTCATTTTCAATAATCAGAAACTTCTATTTTACTTTTTGGATCTTAAAACAAAAATTAAAATACGAAATTATTAATAATACGACACAATATATTATAGCTAATTTGATATGTCACAAATTCGATGAATATTATCTAAATATTAACAATACTATTAAAATCGCAACTATATTAGATTCTCGTGTTAAGTATTCAGTTTATGAATTTGGTGATGAAACTAATAATACAATATTTTTATTACATAGTAAAATGATTCATTATTCAACTACTACTACACAAAATACACCAAACCAAACAGAATTATAACCAGAAAGCATATTATTTAATCAAAGTAATGCTTGTGCCTATTTAAGAAATCTTGTAAATCAATTCCATCTAACTATACCTACCCAACCTAATATTAATAATGAATTAGAAAGATATCTTGCCATTCCTATTGATAAAAATTGTAATCCATTAGAGTGGTGGAAAGTTTATAAGGTACAATTTCTAGTTTGTCAGCTATGGCACATGACTACCTTACGATTCAGGCAACAAGTGTGCCGTGTGAACAAGTGTTTTCAATTGCCAGGCTTACCATTTCAAAGGTACATAACAGGTTAGATCATGAAACTGCACGGGCGTTATTATGTCTACGTAAAGAGTTGGATTAGTGAAAAAATTGATGAAAATATTAATAACGTTGACATAGAAGATATTAATGATATTGATTATGAAATGGATTGTGAATGAGTTTTTTTTTTTTTTGTTTTTTGTATTATCGGGATTTGCTTAGTGAAAAAATATACTACGTAGTAATTGTTAACAAAACAGCGAAAGCATTATATTTACCTTGTGAAAAAATATTTGGGACGATAACATTTAAAATTTAAAAAATCCGATAAAATTATGGCTTGTATTTTATTTCACACGCTATGTAATTTCTGTAGATAAATAGATAACGATAACTGTTCAATAAAAAAAAATCATGATATTAATTTTTATGTATGTAAATCAATCACATACATTATAAACCTTATAAACCGGGTTTAGCCGCTTATCTCTTAAACCAGGGGGTTTTCAAACCAAATTAAGCTAAGCCGACCGAATACCATCCCTATTCTTTTCCCTTCACAATAGTAAATGGTGATCATCTTCTGCTCCAATGTCCATTATTTAGAGTGACTTTCTTGATGATTCAAAATTTAAGTTATCTTTAATTAAATTCTATAATATAATTTAAATCAAGAATGACAACTATTGCATGACCGGCATTTACTATATGTAGTTTAGCCCTGATTTAAATCCGAAACTGAGATATAGCGATAGTGATTATCAGTTATATAATATATAATAACTGATTTTAAATTCGGCATTTAACTTATTACAAACATAAATTAATTTACGAAACCAATAAATTTCTTAATTTAATAGAATGTCTGGTAAAAATAGCAAAATTAGCAAGTTAATTATACTAATAATAATAATAATAATAATAAATTAATCTATTTATCAAATATTTTTGTCGTATTCGCTTACATATTATTGTCTTAAATTAAATTTGTCAATTGTTTGAGAACAAAAGAAAAATAATGTTTGCCACAAAAATAACACCGACAAGATTGGCATTATAGTTAATGCCCAGTAGGGTTTTAAGGCACTGAGAGTAATTGTCTGGACAATAAGTGCCCCTTAAAATCCTTCAAACAATTACACCTACTTAATAAATTAATTATAACTTGTATAATAAGTCATTTTTACAAAGAAAAAAAAAAAGTGAAATTGTATTCGTAATTCTAAATTTGAAATTTTATTTCCAAAAACTTGTTGCAAAAGAAAGAATTGAAGGTCCATAATAATTAGCACCGCTCCCTGTCTGATCATGTGATATTTCTATGGCGTATATTGATTAGGAACAATTACTATATGCAGCCGATAAATATTTTACAGAGAATGGTTGGTCCACGAGATATTATACTATGCCGGAGGCCTTGAAATAGCCAGGGCGGCCACCCCAAAGTGCCAGTGACGTAATAATTTCCACCAATCAGATAACACAATATATATTAACAATAAGTAATACTTATCGTTATTGTTAATATATATGGTGTTATCTGATTGGTGAAATGATTTACGTCACTGGCACTTTTGCCCTGGCTATTTCGGAAGCCTTAATAATTATTTCAAATTTTTAAAATACTTTAACTCAAACGAAAAAATTCTAAAATTTGCCATTAATCTTGTTCTTAATGATAATTTCTACAAAATTACCAATGAAATTTTCAAAAAATTTAGTCTTTACGTCAGGACTTTAAAATGCCATAGTATTTTGCCTGCCATTCAAAAAGTGTCATTCTTGATCTATTATTTACTGCCATTGTTGGCTTTGTATGCAATATATTACATTTAATTTTTGATATATCAAAAACGACACCTCAAACAATTAAAATTTGCGCTGTAAATGGCAGGTAAAATATTATGATATTTTAAGCCCTACTTTACTTAAGTTCGAGACAATTTGTTAAGCTTCCAATACAACTTATTTTAAAAAGTCATTCAAAAATAAAAGACCTTGACTTGACAACAAAAACAAAAACAAAAACATTTCCTCCTATTAAGTTACCACCTGCAATGCGCGTTTGCATAATTAAAAGTTATGAATTAGCAGTAATTATTTTAAAAAACAAAGGAAACAAATGCAGATGTAGATCTTTGAAAAAATAATAATCATATTTCAATATTTCTGAGAAAATATAAAAGAACTTCAATTTTAACCATCATCATCATTCGTATCGAAGTCTAAAATTCATTCATTTTTTTTTTCGACAATTTTAAACTCATAAATTCATCTTTTCTCACCTTCTTTTTCCCTAGATTTCTTTATATTTTCAAATTATACCTTTTTATTTCTCTATACCTTAATCATGCTTATCAAACCATTTACTTTTGTCACTTTAGTCACTTTGTGCATCATTTCCGTTGAGCTCGTACTCATTGGATCGGCAAGTCCAATGCAAAAATTTCCTCAGCTATTCAGACGTGGAAACTGCGGGGAAGGTTCTATTAATGAACATAACATTTTGCGGTTCCAATGTGGTTTCAACATACCCGAACATTGTAGATTCAGGATTGGTGAATTTGTGATTCCTGAAATTGCAATTAGAATTGAAAAAAAAACAATAGTAGAGATTGAATTAGATAAATGCGAAAGAAGTATATTCCCATTTGAATTTGTGACACTTGAATCAGAGATTTTTGGTATAATTCGTGTACATATCACGCATACACACATTGAACATAATGAGGAAACTAGTTCTTTTACTAGTAGTCATTCTTCGACTGATATTTCTACTGAAGAATGTGTAGACTGCGAATTTGAACATGGACATGGGCATGGACATGAACATGGACTTGGACATGGCTTTGAACATGGACTTGGACATGGCTTTGAACATGGACTTGGACATGGCTTTGAACATGGACTTGAAGAATGTGTAGACTGCGACTTTGAACATGGACATGGACTTGGACATGGACATGGCTTTGAACATGGCTTTGAAGAATGTGTAGACTGCGACTTTGAACATGGACATGGACTTGGACATGGACATGGACTTGGACTTGGACATGGCTTTGAACATGGCTTTGAAGAATGTGAAGGCTGCGAATTTGGACATGAACATGGTTGTTCAGGGTGTCTTTAACAAGAAATAACTTTAATTTTTTCATGTGTTGGATTCATATATAAGAAGTTTTGACAAAAATTAGATATATTCCTTATCAATTATTATAAATGTTTTTTTTTTTTTTTTTTTTTATTTACTCAATCATGTTTTTTTACAAGAATAGTTTGTTATAGACAATATAGTGATTCGTGACCTTATAAGTTTATTCTATTTTATGTGTTTAAATGAGTAAAATTTTTTGTATACAAAAAAAAAATAAATAAAGGGACTATTCAGTAAATCAACTTTGTGCAAGGGAAACGACATTTCTTTTATTTTTTAGAGAAAATTATGTTTAACTACGTTTCACGGGGTGAAATTCACACCATTTACAAAATTATATATCGATATGTTATGTTTGAGTTAGAAGTTATAAATAATTATACCCAATTTTTTCTAGCAAAGAAATTTTGCAGACGTGCCCAAGGACAATTATAGTGATAAATAATAAATTCCGAACTGTCCTATCCTAGCATAACTACCAAAATCATTTACGTAATCGGCCACTATATCAATTTTATTAATATAAATTTCTAGTAGTTTTATTAATAAAAAAATTTTAATATTACATTTATTATATACGTAAATGATCTTGGTGGTTCGTTCATAAGAGTAAAAATACTGTAATTCTATTGGCTATAAAAAATATATAAAAAATATAATGTTAATACTGCAATTTGATTGGTTAATTGGTTAATATGATGTTTATTTTTTTTATCTGAAATTTGAAAAAAATAGAGGGGGGATTATGTTAAACGAAGAATTAAATTGGTCTGGCCTAATTTATATAAAATATTGTTACGGCAGTTTTTATATGACGACACGTCAATTAAACGTAACCATACGTCTTCAAAATTTAACAAGGAAAATTTTAATTATGATATAAAAAGTCAGTTTCATAAGTAAAATTTCGAATTAGGGAACGGGAGATTTCTTAGGGGAGAGAGGGGGTTATAGTATAATCAGGTTCTAGCTTATTAAATCTTATATTATCGTTAGGTAGGGGAAGGGGAGGCCTCTATAGTAAACTTAAATCACCTGAAAACCTGATTGTTTCTTAAAATTTTACGTTACACTTGATCTTGCAATTTAATTGGCTGCGCAGAATTTTTGGAGTGCACTTCCCTGACGTGCACATATAGAGAGTTGACTGTACTGTATTACTGTATTAACAAAAAAAAAATTTTATTGCTTTATATAATATATCTTAGGTAAAGAATTTTATTATATTTAACGAGGTGTTTTTTTAGTTTTTAAAGAAATTATATCGACACAGCGATGACATATGTGCAGTGTCAGTAAAATTTTCACTCTTTAAAATAGGTGTTTTAGTATACTGTATATCGATATCAGATATGTTAAATAAATTTTTTTTCTAACTATATATTACTGTATTATGTATAATATTATACGTATACGTATTAATTTTGTAATTGCTACACAATTACGATATTATTTATTAACAATTTAAAAAACAATTACACACATGAACACTACGAGAAAAAAAAAAAGGTATTTATTGTTTCCATAAAAACATAATATATTTTCTTACAATCAGAATAATGAATAATTTATTGTACAATATATTTAAAATACATATTTACGAAAATTTGTATGGAGTTAAAACCTGTAAGTGAATATTTAAGTTATAATTGAGCTGACTTATCGCATTATATTACGATAATTATAACTTCATAATCACTTGCAGGTTATCCTCTGCGCACTCATTTTAGACTTTGTGTGTTTGAAAAAAAAAGTATATTATGATAATAAGTAAATTAAAAATGTAAATCCAATTAAGTCAAAGATGATGTGATAGGTTTCAGGAGTCTATTTCTAAATATATTTATCAATGAAAAGATAATTTATTTTGTTGGGGAACTTCTCTAGTAAAATGAAGAATAATTTACCGAAGAATATATCAGATATAGATAAATAAGACACGCAAATATGTAGATACTATAGCTTAATATTTAATATTTAATAAAAAAAAAAAAAAACGAAGTATTGCCATTAGAATCTTTTAAAAAATTTCTTTTGCGTAAGAAATTAACAGATAAGGAATAATATCGACATAAATGGAATGTGAGAATTTTCGATTACGTTTATCAGGAAAAATTCTCCGAATTGTGTTATTCTTTTAAACCCCACAAATAAAAACATTAAGTAAGTATTTTTCATTTTGTGCCCAGCTACAAAGATCGTCTAAACAAATATAACATTATTAAAAAAAGCCCTTGTACCAAAAATACCCGAGCTTTGTAAGAAAAGATTTGTAATCTCCAACTTCAACCTGTTTTTACTTCGCATGCATATGCTAAGCCTCACAACTTTCGTGTGCATAGTGAAATTATCTTCCCTTGAATAGTAAAGATTGTGTAAACCTCATGATTAATTGCGGGGTGATTATTTAGTGATCTCTTCTTTATATGCACCCTTTATGCCATATTTTCTATTCCATAATTGACTAGTTCGCAAGCAATGAAAGACTCTTAATGTACGGTTCCATACGTTATTATATTTTATAAAACTTTAACTAAATCTGGTTTCCTGTTGAATCCTGCAGAATATATACTAACAATATCAACTTTTAGAACAACCCTTTTTTATGATGTTTAATTCTTGTTATTTCATATTTCTAAAGACAAAGTTAATTTAATCCAGAAATTCTTGATTGTTGAAAACTCATGTCAAGTGTATCAAAACTTAAAATCCTTTCGCTAATAACTCTTATTTCAAATGTTTGAATAGTATTTAAGAATACTGCGCATACGATATTCCCAATCTTTTTAGATTTTTAAGTTACACAATCGAAGGGGTCTTTCTTTTTATAGTATTATTGTTTATACAAGTTTCCCCACACTCGAATCGTATATAAATTGTAATTTTCCTCCGTCGATCTAATTTTCATGCAAAAATGTCCGCAGAATTTTTGAAGACATTATCAAACGACTTTGCTAAATTACTCTCTAACGTTGAAGACTATAATGTCATCATTAAAGTTGGAGAATCACCAAATA